TTTTTGATAATGTCGATAACACTACCCTTTTGTTAGTCTTTTTGGATTCCTCGCAATTTACTTTAAATTTAAATAAATCTTTTTGGGGTTCCCATTGAAGCCCAAGCGTTTTAACGCTTTCATTTTCCGTAATAGCAAGCACTTTGTTATCTCCTGTGTTCTCAACAGTTTGAGTTACTTTAAAATTGTTGGAAATCCATTTCCTTAAATTAAACCCTACCTTTTGTAGTTCCTGTGAGATTAGTTTAATTAAATTGTTGACATCTTCCACAGAATCAGCCCCAGTCATTAGGTCATCCATATAGAACTCATTCCTAATTATTTCACTCAAATATTTATTTTTACATTTATCAGCAATATCTACCAGAACTCTGGTTGCTAAATATGGTGCGGATGCAGTACCATATGTGACTGTTATGAGTTTATAATTTTTTATTTTTTCATTTGGAGAGTTTCTCCATAAAATGTACTGGTATTGCTGATCCTCATCATCAATCTTTATTTGACGATACATATTTTCAACATCCGCGGATACCACATATTCCCTTTTTCTCCATTTAACGATAATGTCAAAAATATCCTTTTGAACTCGTGGACAAACCCACATTATATCGTTCAAACTTTTGTTATTAGTAGTTTTTGCTGAAGCGTCAAAAACTACTCTTAATTTGGTCGTCAAGCTCGAATATCTGATCACGGCTTGGTGCGGTAAGAAATACTTACCTTCATTCTGCACTTCGACCATATGTCCTAAATTCATATATTCATTAATGAAATTTGTGTAGTCTGCGCTTAGTTTCTCGTTTCTTTTTAATTTTTTCTCCAGATTCATGAAACGAGCCATCGCTTGTTTCTTTGAATCCCCTAAGGTGACATCATCTTTAAATGGAATTGACACAATGTATCGCCCATCTGAATCTATCTTTGTAGTTTTTGTGAAATTATTTTCACATATTTCAGATTCGATATCATTTTTATCTTCATCCTCTACTTCCCAATACCGATCCATATCTTTTACATCCAGAGATAATCCACCCGAAATCGGTTTTTTGGCCGAGGAGGCCATTTATTTTGACCACTCCACTCTGTAGAATGTCAGTATATAGATCTGCTCCAATAATTAGATCTACACGCCCCGGCTTATTAAAGTCGGGGTCGGCCAAATATATTTTTCCCATTTCGTTTTGTCAACATTAACTATATAGTTGAAGAGCTTCTTTGTTAAACTTCCTAATTATTATGTGTGCAAACATAATATCCACTTCATCAGAAAGTTGTGCCTTCAATTTTATCATATGTATTGACTCGTTAATCGTGTCAATAAATATTTTTAGTCGCCTAACTTAATCAACATTTACGATTTGAAGATCCAGAAGACGGTTTAATTGATCGGAAAAATGTTCCTTTTATTTTCGTACCGCTTGGTTAATAACTCCCAAGCGGCCTCATAATTCTCCCCAGATCCCAACAATAAGTGAGAAACCACATTTCGGGCTTCTCCCTTAAGTGAGATCTTAAGGTAACTGAACTTAAAAGAAGGACTTAGATCCTCTCTTAAATGAATGAGTTCATTAAACAACTCATAAAACAGGTCCCAGTCTTTGGAATCTCCATAGATCGTGGGTACCTGAATTTTAGGTAACGTTGGCAAATCATCAATTTTATGATTTTCAACGTTAACCTTTCCAGGCACAATTTGTTCGATTTTTTTTTCATTGTGTTGGTTATTGACGAGATGTCAAACTCTAACTCGTTCGACTCCTCGTCATAACCCCTATCAGTGACATCTACTTGGTCGACTTGTTTTAGACCTACTATTTTTGTCCAATAAAATTCTAATTTCTGGACTCTAATCTCAAAAGTTGAAACATTATCTAGCTTAATGTCTTCAAAAGTTTCTTTTAAGTATTCTCGTACCTGTACTATTGCCCTATCTAATTTATTGACAACTTTAGAACTACTGGCCTCTAAGTCAACTTCGTCAGCTTTGTTTAAACCCCTATTTATCCTTTCTTTTATATTTGAGAGATCTAACATCATTCTCTCATAATGGTTCTTCTTGAAGTAGTTATGATCGACTACTCCAATTTGAACCAAAACCGAATGGTTTTGAACACATTCGGACCTTAATTCCTCATACTGTTGCAAATATTCGAATGATAGACTAGGTAGCTCTCTAAGGGTATGAATTAGTTTTGTAATTTCTACTTGACTTTTTATTAAGGCAATAGTTTCAGCGGACAACATGGTTTTGGCTTTAGTTTTGTATATGTATATATATAAAAATAAATTGCTGTTCGTTAGTATTGCTAAAATTCGAGAGCGTCTGAATGGATTTATCTTTTCTTAATATTAAAATGCTCGTAACTTATAAAAATAAATTTTAAGATTACCTTAGCTGGTGTATTTGTTGTCGTCACTGCCGTTGTCGCCGTTGTAGTTGTTTTAGCTGATGCTGTTGTTGCTGATGCGCTTGTTGTTGCGGCTGTTGTTGCTGATGGTCGTTGTTGCTGCTTCTGCCGTTGTCCTTGTCTCTGTTGCCGCTCCTGTTGTTGATCCTGCTGGCCTTCCTTCAGTTGTCGTCTCTTTGAGGGTTTTCGTTGTTGTTTTTAAAGATGATTAAAGTTTTTTTTTTAAATATTTTTATTTATTTATTTTTGAACAGTTAATATTGGGTTTTTTTTTAAGCTTTAATATTTGTTTTTTGTCACTGATAGTTTTAATATATATATATATATATATACTTTTTTTGCACTTTTTCGATGTGTGGCCTCGAATACGCCTGATTTTAATTAATCACGTTTTTTTTTTTTTTGGCTTTTGTAAGGCCACGAAAACGCCTCAAAATAAAATTGTTCGACGACAATTTATTATATTTTTTTTTAATATAACTTGTCGATTTCTCGACCACAATTTCACAACAATTTTTTATTTTTTTATTATTTTTGAAAATTGCTTTAAACAATAAGGACTCTTATTTGTCCTTTTGCTTTTAAATTTATACTTTGTTTCTTACCATAAAGGGGAAAACAAGAGTCAATTAAGGTGCTGGCTTTCCTCTAAGTCTCTTACCACTGGTGGGGGAAAACTGTAGAGTTGCTCGAAGGACCAAAATGTTAAGGATAGTAACTAAATACAACCTTTTTGTTTGAGTTCTGTATTGAAACTGTTTCATTTTATTTAAAACTTCTTGACAAGAAACTTATGTGAAAATCTTATTCAAATCTTAGCTATGGTCTACGCAGAGACCTAATCTTTTTAGTCTGGGCGGGGGAGTTATTTATTTTGCCCCCCGCACAAGAAGGCACATTTGGGAGCGATAATATTAGATAGCTCAAGAGGCCTGCTGTTACAGATTTGAAAAACTGAACCCTTGTCGGGTCCCAGATCGTAAATTATGGCTCTTGATCGAATTACACAGTTCTACATGACATGTGCAGAACTCATTAAATCTTAGACATAATATTTATCAGTTTTCGTCTGAACAGTTATTGAGTTCTAATGTTATTTGGATGACTCCGCTGGGTTTAGATACACCATCGAATGATTTCATAAATTTGTGAACTTCCGTAATTTTTTGTGATTTAAGTTCTTCGACGATTTCTTTCTCGGGATTGTCAGAGAGGTACGGGGCATAAACTTACCGTTTCACAAAATTGAGGGCGTCGTGGAGCTTACTCTGTACTTTGCATATACCGGTTAGCTCGGTAGTGTTTATAAACTTTTTAGCATCGGCTTGAGATTTTATTAGACGGTGGTTTGAAGACTATTGAAAAATACGCGATGAAAAAGTGTGAAAGATAAGAACCACGTGGGTCCAATAAGTACAGTGACCGCACGGGAACCGCTGTTTGTAGATAAGAGACGTCCGCTCGCGACGAGAGATAGTCGAAGACTGAAACAAATAATATAAATTGGAAAGGTCGCCAAAACTAACAACATTAAACAACAGAAGGCACGCCAATAGCATTACACTGAAACATGGTATGAGCTGAACTTAAACGTAGCTACTATAATGCAAGAACAACGATTAACAACATCTAAGTTTACTAAGTTAAAAACAAACGTTAAATTTTTTGTTTTAAATGTAGGAAGACATACATAATACCCAATTTCATTACAGACAGCACTAGGAGTAACAAATTATTTACAGACGATTAGACATTTTGACATTTTGACATACAAATCACTGGAAAAATACACACATTACTACCATAGAAAAATATTAAGCTAGCTGATCAAACATAAACACTATATACAAAAAAGACTAATCAAAAATAAGAGGAGAAGAGAACGACGTTACGAAAACAACTAGACCCGAACGACTTCACATCATTTATGGAGAGTGAGAAGAACAAAAAACTAAAAACAACAACCATGATGAGACAAATAAGGAAACTAGAGAGACTGCAGATGGAAAGGAGCAAAATTCTAGCCGACAACAAAAAAACAGCTGATTGTTAGATGGTATAGCTGCGCACGATAGAGGAGTGAAATGCCATATATCGAGTAGATACCGTCTGTCTCGCATTCGCATTATATCCCATTATCAAAATACAAATATTATATCTAAGTTTTTAATTTAATTAGTGCTTTTCTTACGAATAAATTGTCTACAAATTTGAAAAAAATTTTTTTTTTCATTTTTTGAAAGCTTAGACTTTCAAAAATATTGTCAAATCATTTTTTAAAATTGTAATTAGACACATGCAATTTTGAGATTTTTAAGCTAGTTTTTCTCGAAATTATTTATTTAGGTGATTGACATGATATTTCTAGTTCTACTGAACCGATTTCGATTAAAATTTGGTATTTATCTTGTTTATACTACTCTCTATCGAGTCTGCCTCGGACTTAAAACAATTTTGACTAGAAACATTTAATCATCTTTACTTACTAGGACATGCAGAGCGTAGTAATTGTTGGATGTTTACTTTAGGCTTCGGCCTTAAGAGATACAAGTTTTTTTTACAAAATAAAATTATGTTAATATATTTTAGTTCCTAAAGGATCACAAATAGCCAATTGGATTTCGCAAGAAATGGATGGATTTATATTTATTTGGTATCATGCTGAGCCAACAGAAATACCATGGGAGCTCCCTTTATCTATGGAAGTTAGAGAAAGCTTTGTATACCATGGACATAATGAATTTTACATCAATTGTCATATTCAAGAGATACCGGAAAATGGTGCTGATATTGCACATTTTAATGCTATTCACAATGAGAGCCTTATTGACAACAGTTGGTTTAAAAAGAAGGTTTTATCTGGCAGGTATGGATATCATCATTGGAAAGCGAGGTAAGTGTAAAACTTCTATTCAATTCGCTTTATTTTAAACTATTGCATGATGTAAGGAATCTGAGACTTATAGATCTTCAAATGCACACTAACAAAAATTATTATTATTATTATTATTATTATTATTATTATTATTATTATTATTATTATTATTATTATTATTATTATTATTATTATTATTATTATTATTATTATTATTATTATTATTTTTTTATTATTATTATTATTATTATTATTATTATTATTATTATTATTATTATTATTATTATTATTATTATTATTATTATTATTATTATTATTATTATTCTTATTATTATTATTATTATTATTATTATTATTATTGTTTATGGGGAAAACAACCAAAATGCTTGATTTTATTAGCTGTGCTCGGAGTTGCATCGGTTTTGTATTACTGACTTGTCCAAAGCTTGACTTCAAATTTGTGTACATAGTTTCCCTGTAGCTCAGCTGAATAGATAACGCGACAAATGTAGCGAGATAAGAAAAACGAAGAAAAAAGCATAACAGCACCTATGAGCATTTGACTAGGTGCTGGCGGTCTGCTCAAAACATACTCCCCCCGTTGGAAGAGGCACGTTTTCAACCAAATGGGATTCGATGGGTACAGCGGCTAGTTTGGTGACGGCTCTTTTTGTAAGATCTGTAGCTGTCCGGACCATAGCTACTCTGACGACGCCGTTCTTTCCGGGTGGAAGGTTGTCCTCCTGAAGCAATACAAATCGACCGATTTGGATGTTGGATGTTTTGATCCGCCATTTGCTTCGTTCTTGCAACAGGGACAAATACTCTCTGCTCCATCTTTTCCAGAAGTGCTGCTGCATTTGTATTATTTTTTGCCAACTGCTTAACCGGCCTGCGCGAAGATGAGTAACGTCAGGCTCAGGAAACCTTTCTGAAATTGAACAAAGCGGACGGGAGTTAAGAATGGCAGAAATTTCATATGCAAGAGTTCTTAATTCATCAAGGGCTAAGATGGCTGCACCGACAACTCGGTAGAAGTGAAATTTTTGTCGATTTTACAGCCGCCTCCCATATACCACCGAAATGTAGGGCACGCGGGGGTATGAACTCCCAATCAATTCCATTCGCTTAGCAGGAAGAAGTTATCGAAGCCGTGTGCGGTTCGCTCAAAAATAACTCCTTCAGTTCCGCTAGCTCTCGTTTAGCGCCAACAAAGTTTGTCACATTATCACTCCAAATAGTACGTAGACTGCCTCTGAGGCTAATGAATCTTCTCAAAGCTGCAATGAAAGAATCCGTTGTGAGATCCTGGACGACTTCCAAGTGCGCAGCCTTCGTCAAAAAGCAGACAAAGACGGCGATGTAGCACTTGTGGGGTGCATTGTTCCGGGCCTCTGACTTGTGATAGAACGATCCACAATAGTCCACTCCTGTGGTGTGAAAAGCTGGGTTAGGCTGAACTCGATCTGCTGGCAGGCTACCCATCACGAGTTCCCAAGTCACAGGCTTCATCCGAAAGCATCTGACGCATTTGTTGATGACGCTAGCCACGAACTTTCGGCCTCCAAGTGGCCAATACCTTTGCCGTATTGCAGCGAGCATCGCCTGTGGCCCTGCGTGGAAGTATTTCTCATGATAATAGACGATAATCGCCCTGGTGAACGGATGATTCTTGGGTAACAATATCGGATGCTTAGCCTCGTGGTCCAAGCTCGCATTTTGAAGCCTTCCACCAACACGAAGTAAACTCTCAGAGCTAAGTATTGGCCTCAGAGAAATCAACTTGCTCTTCGGAGGACAACGCTTGCCTTGGCTAAGAACCTCATGCTCACCGCTATGTGAACCTGTTGAATGCTCCTTAGAAGCAGAACGGTTCCGAAGCAAAGCTCGTCAACGGTAAGATAGATGGTTCAAGGTAATGATTTGGCTCTGCAATTTGAAATGAATCGATATGAGTCGAATGAGTTGAGAAACTTACAGTTGATAGATATGTCAGTGCCGACGGTTCCAATTAGCGCCGTGGAACGCCGTTCCGGAAGGTTCTTTACTGCATCTAATAGGGAGGGCCAGTTCGACGCTACTTTCAGTAGAAATGGAGGTCCATTTGCCCAAAGGGAGTGCTCCAGCAAATATTTACACCCGCGCGATACCACATCCGCCGGATTCAAGTCTGTTGGAATATGATGCCAAGCCATACCTTTCGTCATTTCCTGGATTTTCGCGGTTCTATTAGACACAAATACAATGAACTCCCTCGGAGGTTGCCGAATACAAGCCAACACAATAGACGAGCCCGACCAGCAGTGAAAGGTGCAATCAAAACCTATGGTTTCCTTAACGTTTACGATAAGCTCAGCCAATAAACACGCTGCTGGAAGTTCTAATCTTGGTATTGTTAAAATTTTTAAGGGAGCTACTCTAGACTTGGCACAGAGTAGATGTGCTTCAGCGTTGCCATTGGCCTCCGACCGCAAATATAAGCACGCACCGCAAGCATCACAGAATTCGTGCATCTCGACGGAAGCCTGTGATTGCATTACGAATCGTGGAAATTTTAGGTTCTGGACGATCGACAACTGAGAGGTCAACTCCCCCCATGAAGAAAGAAGGGGATCTGGCAGCCAAACCATGTTAGTGCTCCATTGCCTTTTCACAAAAAATTTTGATTTTGTAACAATGGGTGCTATTAAACCAAGCGGATCATAAAATTTCGCAATTGTTGACAACACAATCCGTTTTGTTGCAACGAGCAACTTGACTTGATAAAATTTGTGCAAAGTTAAAGACAAGATTATCCGAAGATGGATCCCAGACCAACCCCAAAGCTTTGGCGATAGCTGATCCGTCGTGGAATTTATTCAATTGCTCTTTATCGCGATCAGACTCTCCTTCGAGAGCGCTTGCTTCATTCGAACACCATTTTCGGATCGGAAAGTGGCCGCGCGCCAGTAGCTCCTTTACCTGATGACGAATTTCTTTCACCTCTTTAACTGAATCGCCACCAGAGACTAGATCGTCCACGTAGAAATCTCTACGAACGATTTTTGCTCCAACTGGAAATGAGTCCTCTTCATAAGAGAGCTGATGCATGGCTCTTATAGCCAAGAAGGCAGCCGACTTGGTTCCATAAGTTACCGTGTTTAGTTTATAAACACTCAATTTATCTGTGGAGTTCTCTCGCCAAATAATACATTGCAAAAATTCATCAGGGTACGAAACACTCCACAAAGAGCTACTTTAAAAAATCTAAACCGAACCAAAATATTAAAGATTTTTTGCTGATTTGTTGGTCCTGCTAGAAGCAAGTCGTTTAGAGCTATCCCAGATGTAGTTTTTGCAGAACCATCAAAGACAACACGAAGTTTTGTGGTTATGAACAGAATGGTGAGGCAAGAAAAGTTATGGCACCGCTGGATCCCTTAATGCGAGAGACATGTGGCCTAAGTTGAGGTATTCCTGTAAAAATTCCGAATACTGCGCTTTCAGATTGGGGTTTTTATTTAGTTTTGATTCCAAACTTTTAAAACGACGACGGGCCAGACAGTAGGAGTCACCTAAAGATTCGAATCCTAAAGTGGATAAAAGGCGAACCGAATATTGACCATTCTCCAGCCAAATGCAATTTTCTTTGAAATGCTGCTCGCATCGTAAGTGCTCGGCCAGCATCGATAGTTTTTCTGAACTAATGTCTTGAATCTCCCAAAACCGCTTTACTACGGCAGCAGGTGTGTCATCATCTGAATGATCAGCAGAATCCTTGACAATGGCAGCTAAGACAGATTTGCCATTTAGCATACTTGACATCCCTCCAGAAACTATCCAACCAAGCTTGGTGTTTTGAAGCGTGGGCAAGGTGCTATCCAAATTAATTTTCACTTTAGCGATTATTTCGAAGAACAGACCAGCGCCAATTAAAAGATCAATTCGTTGTGACTGGTTGAAATGAGGGTTAGCTAGCGAAATGTTTTGTGGCATCCTCCATCCTGTAGTACTTATATTGAAATTTGCTGGTAATCAGTAATACTATGGGTTACAACAGCTGTGAGTGACGCATGGAAGTTCATGGAAGATTCCCCTATCCCAGAAATTAGTGTGTGCGATTGTCTAAGTTTTAAATTTAGTTGGCTAGCTAGACGCTGAATCTAATATTGCTCGGCAAGGCATAAAGGCACCAAGTTGGAAGCAGCACGTACTTCATTGGCATTGTATTAAAGGTTTGTGGTGGAGAGTGCAATTAATGGTGATTTGGTTGTGATTATGGAGATGAGCATGACACTAGTGATGATGAAGTCGATGGTAATGGTTGAGAGCTTATAGATGGGTCGGATGATGGAGATGAAGCTGAGGTCGATGGTATGGATGACTCTGGGATAATGTGCAGTAATGAATGGTGCTTCATGCGACAATGCTTACAATGAGTTGACTTACATTGCTGCAAGCTATGGCCTTTGCGTAAACAGTTGAGGCAAAGGTGCATTTTTTTTGCTTCCCTATATCGAAGATTGGGACTCAAGCTAAAAAATCGGGAGCATTTTGGCAAATAAAGATCTCTAGCATCGCAAAATAGGCAAATTGGATGGTTAGTAGCAGACGTAATCAGTACACTTGGGTTATATCTATGCATGCTTTTTCCTACCTGATGGAGTGGTGTTTGAATTATCACAGCTTGGTCCAAGTTTTCCATCATCCGACACCTCTTCTCCAAAAACGACTCCATAGCATCCCAGGTAGATAGCTCAGAGATTGACAAATCATCTTCCCATTTTTCAAGGGTTCTTTGATCCAGCTTGTGTGTCACGATATGAATGAGAAATCCATCCAGAATTTGTTGTGTGGTGGCCAGGGAACGGATTTCTCGAAGATGCGAATTCATCCAATGGCTGAGCTCCCGAAGACCCTTAGCTGATACCTTCTCGACACCTTTTAAACCAAATATTGCCTGAACGTGTGCCTGAAATTGTAAAACTTTATTATCAAATCGATTAAAAAGTAAATTTAAAGCCTTTTTATAATTTTCA